GGACCCCGCGGGGGGGAGCGCCGCCACGCTTCCCAAGCGGCGCACTATCCAGTGCGCCACCGGGCCGGCCGGAGAATGTGATTAAATTACCAAAGAAAAACATAAATCGGCATTGCATTAAGTGCTCTGTGCCCAAGGCTGTTTTGAGAGAACAAGGGGGAATAAACATGAGATAGGGAATATAGCAGGGGAGGCCTCACTGAGGAGGTAACCGAAGCCTAGGTCCAGAATGCAGAGCTGGTGATGTGCTGGAGCAGACAGACAAGGGCCTCCAGGGCCTAGTCTGGGGAGACAGATGGTCAGCTGGTAAACAAAAAATAAAGGTGATTTCTGAAAACAGTAACTGCTATGCAACTTGCCTCTATCACCTCTTTAACCTCATTTCTCTGCTCCATCCATGGGCCTCTGTACTGCTGCAGAGCATTCTCCCCCTGGTCCCACCCCAGGGCCTTTGCACTGGCTGTTCCCTCTCCCTGGAGCACTCTTTCCCAGATCTCCACATCGTTCATTTCCTCATCTCCTTCAAGCCTCTGTTCAAATGTCACCACCTCAGACAGTCTTTCCTTGAAGCTTCCTCACCGTTGTTTAAAATTATAACTCCTCTCATTTCTCCCCTAGACTTTATTATCCTTTTTCTTGCCTGTGGCCTTGCAAAAGTTTTCACTTGATAAAGGCAAGGATTTTAAAACATTTTTATTTTAATTAATACATTGCAATTATACATGCATAGGGGGTACAATCTGATGTTTTGATGCATATATACGTTGTATAATAGTTGGGTTAGGGTAGGTAATATATCAGTCATCTCATGCATTTCTCATTTCTTTGTGGTGAAAACATTCAGAAGCCTCTCTTCTAGCTGTCAAGTAATACACAAAACTTAACTGTTAACCATAGTCACCCTACTGTGCAATAGAACATCAGAACTTATTCCTCCTATCTAATTGAACTTTGTACCCCGTTGCCCAATCTCTCCATTTTCCCACTCCCACCTCCCTTCCCTGGTCTCTGGTAACCACTGTTCTCTCTCTGCCTTTATAATATCAACTTATTTTTCTTTCTGGATTCCACATGTGAGTGAGATCATATGGTATTTGTCTTTCTGTGCATGGCTCACTTAACTTAATGTACACCAAGTCCATCCATGTTGTTGCAAATGACAGTATTTCATTCTTTTTTATAGCTGAATAGTGTTCCATTGTGTATATATACCACATTTTTTTTTAATCCTTTCAAAGGCTCTTGGACACTTAGGTTGATTCTATAGCTTAGCTATTGTAAGCAGTGCTGCCATAAACATGGGAGTGCAGGTCTCTCTTTGACATACTGACTTGATTTCCAGCTGAGCTTTTTGTTTGTTTTTGGTGACTGGCAGTATGGGGATCCAAACCCTTGACCTTGGTGTTACAAAGCTGTGTTCTAACCAGCTAAGCTAACCAGCCAGGCTCTGACTTCCCTTCCTTTGGGTATATACACAGTAGTGGGATTGCTGGATCATATGATAGTTCTATTTTTCAGTTTTCGAGGCATCTCCACACTGTTTTCCATAATGGCTGTGTGGGCAGGAACTTTTATGTTTTGTTTGTTTGTTTTGGCAGCTGGCCAGTATGGGGATCTGAAACCTGGACCTTGGTGTTATAAC